AGCCTGTGGGGAGTGCTGTGACTGGGCGGCCGAGACCCCCAGTCATATGCACTCCCCTAGGATGAACCCACAGGCCACCCCGCCGGAGCGGGGCCGCCGCAGCCGACCCACCGTGACGGGTCTGCATGCGTCCGTCAGTCGTCCAGGGGAGACTCCAAGGATCCGAGACATCCAGCCTCACGCCCGGACAACACTTGCTAGAAGATTCTTCTGAAAAGATCAGGATGAAGCAGGTAAGAATACCTGAGAAAAAATTCTTAGCTCCTTACTCCTGACGCTAGGCAAAAAACTGGAGACTTGTCAGCAGGTGGGGGGTTTGGCCACCGGCAGGGGCCGCCCCAGGCTGTAATTGGTCTTTAGTTTTGTGCCTAGCGTCCTTCTCCTGCAGGTGGTGATATTACCCTACAGTACATGATCTCCGATCTGTTCCCTGTGTCCTTCAATGAACGGGAGATAAATATCTTTTGAGACATCCCTGTCGGGAGGGACATACCTGGCCCGGGGTTATGTAGCCGTGACCGTGTCCCAAGACTTTGGGCCTTTGTACTTCAAATGTTATTGTGCTTTGACTTTGATTTCTGTGAATTGACCTTTTACCTGTATGTTTCTTAAACTCTCAATAAATACTTATTGAACTAAAATTACAATACTGTACTGTAATATAATACAAAATATAAAGAAGAAGAAACCAATTACAGGTACCTTCGTGGCTGGTGTGAGGGGGAGAGAGAGGAGGATTATTGTGTAGGACGACTTGCACTATCACTAACAGAATTACTGCTATCCCTTGACTCAATGGAATCTTTTTCATTTCGTGAAACCTTAACAAGGAATCTATCCAATGTGACATTGCATTGTCGTTAAAAAGACTCATCGCTCGCACTGCTACAGCCTTATTCGGGTGATGCTTTTCTACAAAATTTTGCTCTTATTGCAAGACGTCGCTTGTATATCAAGGCAAAATTTTTCAGAAATATTTGCTTGTCTTGCAAAACACTCTCAAACCAAGTTACTTGTAAACCAAGGTATTACTGTAGAATAGAATAGGTATAGAAGCCTCCAAAAACTAGAATGTTTAAAGCTACCACACCTTACAGTTACCGATCCGCCAAAACTTCAGCTTCAGTCTCCACAGATAGACAGATCCTTCATCCTCCGCAGATCTGGATTCCAGCTGCCACTCAAAGACGTCTCTTCCCTGGACCCAGCTGCTGCACCCTAACCATCCAAGACATCAGAGAAACCGGCCACCACTGCTGCAATTGCACACAAGACATGGGTTGCCTTTCTAACATCTCCATGTGAGTGCAAATTGATCCTTTTTTTTAATCTCACTTGTATTGCAGTACTACCTGACCAGGGTACTGGTCTTTTTTCTCATGCTTCATTTGCAGACACAGTTATTGCTGCCTTGGTATTTTGAATCAACGCCTTACAACCCAGTGGTTCCTGAACAACACGGAACTGTCACCTTCCTACATTTTCCAGTTATATCCTCTTTAATTGCGCTAGGCTGTGGCGCTCTTGAGTGTTTTCTCTTGTCTCCAAGTAAATTTCTTTACTTTTGATAATACTTTTCCTAATGTTTT